ACCATGAAATTCATAATTTTTGTTCCCCTGCACCGATAGATGCTATATGCCAAAATTGGTTGAAATTGGTTGAGCGGTTTCAGAGAAGAAGCTAAAAATGTTCAAATGTTAACACACAACGCTCGACGACTTACGAAAACAGATAGCAATAGGTCTCCTGAGTTTACTCAGATGACCTAAAAATGTAATTTCTCAATTTTACCTGAAATATTTTTCAAGTCATTGACGAAAAATATTAGTCAGTGACCAATCTTTCTTTTAGAAGCTAGTTTTCTGACGGCAGTTTGGAATTGACAGTTTTATGCCGCTGTCATAGAGTAAAATATCCGCCGAAAGATCTATTATAAAGTAAATACCCCCCCCGGGGGGGGGGCTTACCATATATATTGTATTTTTTCCTCATACATGTAGTTAACTTTCCCAACTAACTGTGTACGGTTCAGATTTTATGTACTTTTCTTAAAATATATTCTATAAATGCCCACCATCAAGGACTAAATCAGTATTATGAATTCCATCTCGGTGAAATTATTGATGATCAGAGAAACCATGTCCGTTCTATAAAATTATCTTGTGAACATGCATTGTTAAGCACATGATAAACCAAGCTCAGTACCAAATTTTCTTCAAGATCACAATAGTTATTTCATTACTCGACAAATTGTGAGAAAAATATTTAGCTATAATACAATTAATTGCTGCATTTGCTTACTGTTATGACGATGGTAAAGATGGATACTCCTTTTACTATTATTCCATGATTTAGAATTAGAGTTAACAAAGGTACACTAGTTTTACAAACTTTTTTTGACCAGCAATCTCGATCATTCATTATGTTAATTTTGAGTCATTAACAATAACAAGAGACCCATGGGCCACAATGCTCACCTGAGTAACTTTGGCCCTATTGTTCTTCACCTGATCACCCCCCCGTAATACTTATTGTGGCCCCGCCCTATCCCCAGGGGTGATGATTTGAATAATTTAGAATCTACACTACCCCAGGATGATTCCACTAAAGTTTCAGCTTTTCTGGCCCAGTAGTCCTTGAAAAGAAGATTTTTAAAGATTTTTCCTATATACATGTATTTTAATGTAAAATTTGGATTTCCTACTGTAGCCTCGCCCTACCCCCAAGGGTCATGATTTGAACAATTTAGAATCTACACTACCCCAGGATGCTTCCACATAAGTTTCAGTTTTTCTGGCCGAGTGGTTCTTGAGAAGATTTTTCCTATATATTTCAATGTAAAAATTGGATTCCCTATTGTGGCCCCGCCCTACCCCCGGGGGTCATGATTTGAATAATTACGAATCTAAACTACCCAAGGATGCTTCCACATAAGTTTCAGCTTTTCTGGTCCAGTGGTTCTTGAGAAGAAGATATTTCCTACATATTTCAATGTAAAACTTGGATTCTCTATTGTGGCCCCGCCCTATCCCAGCAGGTCATGATTTAAACCATTTAGAATCTACACTAGGATGCTTCCACATAAGTTTCAGTTTTTCTGGCCCAGTGGTTCTTGAGAAGATTTTTAATGACCCCGCCCTATTTTTGTCTTTTCTTGATGATCTTCCCTTGAAACGGAGCTTGGCCCTTCATTTTAACAAATTAAACTCCCCTTCACCCAAGGATGCTTTGTACCAATTTTGGTTAAAATTGGCCCAGTGGTTCTTGAGAAGAAGTTGAAAATGTGAAAAGTTTACAGATGGACGGACGACAACGGGTGATCAGAAAAGCTCACTTCAGCTTTCAGCTCAGGTGAGCTAAAAATAAACACGTTAAATGTACTTGATTCCAAATTATTTATAATTATCCAGATTGAGGGGGGACGTTTACTATCTACTTTATATCAATGTTTCCAGGAGTAAGCTTTGCTATATAGGCTTTAACAATTGTTCCGAGAGGGAAGCTTTACTCTGTATTAAACATTTCGGGGGAAGGTTTGTTATGCGGAAGGTTTACTTTTATACGACACTGGTAACAACAAAACAGATTACTAAAAACATTTCAACCGTTATATATACTTAAAGTTGACATCTGATGTAAAAGAAGATGGGTGAACATTGCGAACAATAAACCTATTCACGACTTAAGACAACGATCGCGAATCGGGAGTTTAAATTCCACATTGCTTTTACCTGTATTTACAATGGGTACAGTACCGTACTAAAACGTTACCCTGAATGTTTAACGCAGACAATGGACAATATAAAAAGAAATAAAACGAATAAAAAAAGAAAGAAATATTCTCCAAAACATATTTAATCAGAATCATCATCGGAATTTGTTTCACATGCTGCATCGTGTATATTGGACATTAAGTGGTTTTTTACTGACACATAATTACATTGATGTCTGGAGTACCAAGTTCCATATGACGCTGCATATGTGCGCGCAGCATCCTACGGTACGGGCCCCACATTTGCACGGACAAAACCAACCATCCGTGGATGAATATCTAATCCACAAATTATAAAGAAGTTTATTTCTGTGTCGAGATTGAATCTTTGCATGAATTAAATCGCTCTCAATCTTGGACACATCAATAAGATATTGTCCATTTTCAGGATGTTCTGAAACGAAAGAACTTGCTTGTTTCAATTGATAAACGCCAAAAGTTATTTGCCGGTCTTAGTCCTCAGTGAGGACTGGAAAATCTATGGCAATATCTTTGGCGTCTATACGCCTCCATGTTTTAGAATTTTCACGATATTTTCGAGAGGATACATCATCTAACCCCATTCGTTGTATTGCTGTAGCATTTTTCTTTGACTTAAGGAGCATTTGGTAACCAACTTTAAGATCATCGGCATCATTCGATTTAAGTGGTGGCTTGTATTTATTTATTTTGCTACTCACAATTCTAATATAATCACCAATAAATGGAACTTGACTATTGTGTAGTACATTATCCAGATAATTCCATTTTTTGATCCTTCCGTTAGCTGCTTCTACTACCCATTGTATTTTGGTCACCAGCCGCGAGGCATTTGCCTCTTCGGTGGTGTGCTGCTTTGCCGACTTTGAAAGGAATGCAGGCATTTCGACTTGAAATCCACATTCTTTAAGAAAATTCAAATTCAAATCTGAAGCCCCTATCCACAATAAGAATATCTTGCTCTTTCAAAAAACTTGTGAAGTTGCCCTTATTTGTTTTGACAATATGTGAAAGAATAGATGCATCATTGTTACAACCATTGGAAAAGAAGGGCCCAATTGCATCGACAATGTAACCATTGGTGGTTGCAATGATAAAAGGTTTCACAAGAGATCTACCTTTATATACTGAGTAAGTCAGTCTCTGAAACTTGTAGGAGGAACTCTTTTGGATATAAATGTACGTGCCATCCAATACAAGAATGACTGTGTCAGAGATTGGGTCTGAGAACAGTTGTTTTGATATATCAGTGGTATGATGATCGATTATACCTCTTTTGTCAAATGGTCGAATCCAATATTTAGGGGTACAAAATCTCTAACCATCGCTACACGAGCGCGCTTGACGATTTCGGCAACCTGACGTCTGCTACCTAGTCCACATAACGTTGCATGCAAACCATTCGAAAGTCCAGATTTCAACTTAAACAGCAGTATGCATATTGCATTTTTTATTGATCAGTTTTTTGATTTTTTCAAGGAGATGATTGAGGTGGTCAGGTCATCAAAGCTTTCTTTAGAAATGCCTAATAAAGAGTGATGATCCTCATCACAAATCAAGTCAAAATCTATTCTGCTCCGCATGGTACTTAATATTGCATTAGATCTAAGTCTAGAGAGTAAATCAAGCAATTCCTCTGATGTTAAAGTAGAATGTTGTTTTCTATATGATGTGGTACTGATGGTTTGATTTGGATTTAGGTTTTTCCCCAACAAATGTTTTTTTTATAGCATTTGCAACCAACTGGTACTAAAATACCAAATAATGTAAAGGCATCGGTTCTTGCTTCTTTGGGTACAACTCTAAGACCAATTTTTGAGTTACAGAACGCACATTTGCTATTAGATTTTCCTGCAGATACAAATGGGACAGAAAGAGACACATGATTTGCTTTTGTTTTTGTACTGTACTGTAGTTCACTGTGTCCTTGACTCAGTCTACACTGGTTGCATATTTGACTTTTTTCATGAACTTCGATACCTTTCTCTGTTAGTAACTTCTTAAGCGTTGTTGAAATTGTTCTCTTTAGCTTTCCTTTGAGTTGTCGTTTACATATACAGCAGCGATACTTCACAGGACGCCCCATTTTTATTTATATTTATTCATAAGCCGCATGTTCGAATTGAAATCTTTGTGATTGCTGTTAAGACAGCGAGATGTTAGTGTCGTAAAAAAATGCTATAAAATGCCCACTCAAATTGTAAGCTTTAATTATTACAAAAATAGGTTATACTTGGTAAAAAAAATAATAATAAAGGATAGGTAAAATTAAAATCGGGATTCGATCCACCTACTCGCAGTTTTGGAATTGTGAGTCGAACACTATACTTTCTAGGCTATGCCGCTCATGTAAACGTTTTTGATTTTAGAGCTATTTAAAGGTAAGTAACATGGACTTAGAATTTTTCTCGATAATACGACAAATGTTGTATACAAAAAGTAAGTTTTTTTCATAGAGTGGGTCAAGTCTCCATTCTTTTACTTATAAAATATTTTACATCTAATAATGTACTAACATATTTTACTTACTTTAAAATGGAGACTTGACCCACTGCATAAGAAAAAATGGTTTGAAATGTCAAATTTGCTGTTATTTTGTACGTTTTGGCGGTAAAAGTGGTTTATATGGGATATTTTTTAGAGTTCTATTTGGATTATCATAACAAAAAGCATAGTTATGAAAACTAGCTATTCATAACAAAAGCTAGACGTCAAAATTTTCGTTTTCTAAAGACTTAAAATTTCAGCTTTGAAATTTGTCCTTAAGTGGGTTTCTGGCTCGACAAATTCACCCATGTCCTTTTTGTGTGTAAAATTAAACAATGACAGTCATAGAAGTTAATGTATCAAAAATACTTGGTCAAACTGTACACAGAATATAATGATTTATAGTCGTCCTAATCACATCACTTCGGTATTCCAGGTTATTCAGACAAGCCAAGACACACGAGTTAGGAATTGCACTGTATTTCTGGTTGCTTCGAACTTCCTCTACGATATGAATGTAATGGCAACCTTTATCATGATCTGAGAAAGAAAAACGGTTAACATTTGATACATCTTTCATATGAATATTTAAGAAATTTTTTTACTTTTATCGCCATATTCTATTAGATAATTGTAAAAATTACGGAAAAGAAGCCATTCCCGTGAGCTGAAGGCCATTTAAATAGACTTAAATGTTGTGATATTTTTCTTTAAAGTGCATTAACGATCTTCCAAATTTTACATACACTTTTCCTTCACACAGTCTCTCTTAAGAATATCCATAATGATATTTTCCATTGGACAGCCAGGTTTTATTACCTGAAATTGTGAAGAAAATAAGTGTAAATACTATGTTTCCCTCAAAAGAAAAAAAAAAAACCAAAATGCTAGGCATGGCAAATACCAAATTGAGAGAAGTCACCTCGTAAACTATGTGTTTCTCCTTTGCAAATATCCACCCTTCTTCTTCCAGGATACTGAACACTTTGTGCAACTCAGTTTCTCTGTCTACAGATGAACTGTCCTATAAGACAGGAACAAAATCAAATCAAGACGGTATCTTATGTACTCCCTATATTACTTAGTAAATAAAAATAATTTCCGTCAATGTACTAGTACTATAGTGCATTGTATATACTTTTTCGAGTTCAGTTGGATCGCCCGTGTGGCGCAGTGGTTAGAGCGTTTGCTCTAGAGTCACGCAGTAAAGCGTTGATCCTTGCGTCGCGGGTTCGAATCCATTGTGTAACGTGACAACCGGACCGTATAAACCGAAGTCCCGTGTCGCAGAAGGTGCTGGCATGAAAAAAAAAATCTTTCAGTACTCAAAGACCGTAAGTGCCGAGTACAGGGGAGTCGAAGGGAATGAATAAACAAATAAAAGAGTTCAGTTGGGGAACATCTTTTTTCAAGACACAAGCTTTTGAAAGCAAACGTGATGGGAAAGCACTCAAAGTCACGAAAAAGTTCGGGCTTCCGCACAAAACTCAACAAAAAACTTTAAGAAGGCATTTTCCTACATAAAATTAATTTAAAATATGTATATCTTCTTAAATATTTTAAAGGCAAAAAGAAGGTATCTGTGACAATATTTCAGTTAACGACAAAAAAATTTATCTCTCCATTAATAATCCGATTCGGAATCAGGTGCAACATGAAAGTTGCACAATAGGGAGTTTCTCAAATATCATTGATTATCCTTATCAACCCTTTTTATGTCCATAAATAGCCCTTCCCGCAAAGAGGATTAGACAGTAAAAGTCACGTGGTAATCAGAAAGTAAAGCACTGCAGACGTTCATTTTCATCTTCAGAGCATCAAGACAAAACTGCTTCTTTGTGAGTATACAGTTTATAAACAAAGACTTTACATCTACATATATAACATTTAATAATTGTATATACATTCTCTTTTATTTTATTGCAATACAAACTTTTCAATATATGCATGAAAATTTTAACTTATGTTCATCTTTAGCTTCAATTAGCGTGGACTTAGGAACTAAGACAGCAGACAGCATCGCCATGACACTAAGGACGGACAAAATCGTGGTGACCGGTGGGGCGGGGTTTCTGGGACAGCACATTGTCAAAATATTACAGGAAAGGGCCGACTATGTCAAAGAAATAGGTGTTTTGGATCTGAAACCTTTCACCAAACAACTAGGTACGCCAAATCCCTTGGAAATTACAGACTTTAAAGTAACAAAACTTTTTTTAATTTTTGAATAAAATTTGTTAAAAGACAGGTATAGAAAACTGAAGCTACAAAGATCCTGATAATGTTTCTTTTTAGAAAATGGAGCCGTTTTTTCATTTCTGAAGCTAAGTCCAGTTTCTTTCTCCTTTATAACATTTTATATATATATATATATATATATATATATATATATATATATATATATATATATATATATATATATATATATATATATATCTTTATTTTAAAACATTGAAAAAAAGTGTAGTCGTAAGGTTCACAAAAACGAACAGACTGATCATTCCTCGCATAAATGTGATATATTTTATAATTATAATAAAACGTCAAAAATATCCATTCCTTTATAAACGCTACTTTGGTTTTTAAAATATCATTATGAATTTTTTTTTTTAGAATATGAGGACAAGATTCCGTTGACAAGTTTTATTGGCTCCGTCACGGATTACAGTGTGGTAGAGAAAGCGTGTCGAAAAGCGTCCAGTGTGTTCCACGTGGCAGGACTAATCAGCTTTGGGACGTCACCTGACGTTGACGCAATGATGGAAATCAACGTCAAGGGTATTTCACACAAATCTTATCTTTATTAACTTCGCAGATCAAGATATATATTCTTTCAAAAAACTTAAAAACTACAATAGCGATAGTTTTCTTCGCATCTTCCAAGCTTGTTTTGATTGGATTTTTCCCCAGTCCCTAAACGAAATTCAATGCATCTTGCTTCCAAATAAATCTGTAAATTTTATCCATTCAATATCAAATTTTACTTAATTGTGTAAAAGGAACACAGAAGATACTTGAGGCTTGCGTGGAATGTGGTGTTCAGAGACTTGTCTTGTGCAGCTCAGTTGACGTCGTAATAGGATTCGATGACATAAGAGATGGCACTGAGCAGACGACAGGAAAACCATATAAATTTCTGTTTCCCGGATACCCAGAGACGAAATACATGCAAGAATGTATGGTTTTACAGGCCAATGGTGGACCTACTGTCAATGGTAGGCATGGATGTACTGTTACCACTGTGATACGATCCGCTATTTTTGCAGAACGAACATGCTTTTGTGTCGCATAAAACCAATTTTAAATTCCATTCACATTGAAGTTGATTTCAGTAAACGTTCTACCCCATGTTTGCATCGCATTTTGATCCAATGCAATGTTTTGCCATACTACATTTAAATTAACTGGTTTCCTTTTTTCATGATACATGTATGAGTTTTTAAACTTTGTAATAATTAGAACTGTCATAATTTTCACTAAAAAATTCATCATTGTGTCAATCATTTTTCTCTTTCGAAATATATGCAAAGTAATAGATCACATCAATTTAAATTGAAATATGGTTAATGTACGTTTAACATGAATTTCCTGAGAAAATTCTCATTAATTTTGACATTATATAAAGAATTATCATGAGCATGTTGGTAATCTAACATTTACTAGTAATAATTACTAGATATCTAAAGACTTTGAATGGCCACATTCTGACAAATAAGTGCGTCTTGCTGAACATCCACACTTTTGTGTCGCAAAAAACCTGCTTTAAATTCTATTGATACCAGATTTTATTTGTGTAATTTGTGTTTTGTCCATGCGTACACTTCTATCGAAATATTTACTAGTTTTACTGTACAGATTATTACAAAGTAACTAAAAGCTGGTTAAATGCAGGTAAAACTGGTTTCATTATACCCCCTACTTGAAAGCCGGGGGGGGGGGGGGGGTATAGTGATGGGGGTGTATGTCTGTTCGTCCGTCTGTTACGCTTTGGGGTACCCCTCTCTTATCAGAAACTCCTATTATACCACTGAAATTTAATGAGCTCTCAGAGAATCTATGTTACGTAGTGCCATTGTGCACCTCCTATTTTACTTTTTGATTGGACATATATTTCAGGTTTCCAATTGCAAAACACAGACAGTGAAATTCTTTCTGTAATATTGGGGGTACCCATCTCTTATCTGCTAATCCTCCTATACCACTGAATGAAATTTAATGAGACTTTCACAGAATCTTTATTACCTAGTGCCTTTGTACATCTCTTATTTTACTATTTGATCAGGCACATTTCAGGTTTCCCATAGCAAAACATGGCCACTGCCATTCTTTTTATAAAATCATGGGTACCCACCTCTTATCTGCAACTCCTTCTATACCACTAAAGATACTTTCACAGAATCTTTATTACACAGTGCCATTGTGCACCTCCTACTCTGTGTTTTGACAAATATTTGGGCTTTCTCATAGCAAAAAAAAAAAAAAAAAATGGACTCATATTGGAGCGGGGGTATCATTTTGTGAGCTCAGTGCTCACAGTACCTGTACTTTTTTATTGCATTTGTGTTTGAAGAAAACAAACAAATGTACCCAGTAACACAAATCCTTACAGACTATCATAATTTTTTATCAATATATATTTTGATCTGATTCTGTTGATATCTTGTGTTAATTTTTTTTCATTTTACAGGAGATACACTGGTTACAGTGTCTCTAAGAGCCAATGTAATGTATGGAGAGGGGGATCAGTACTATGTCGCCAATGGACTGTGCTCAGCTCAGAGCTCAAAGGGAACACTTGTGCAAGTAGGTAATGGAAAAAATCTGTTTCAGCAGTGCTATGCAGGAAATGCTGCCTGGGCATTTCTTTGCGCTGACAAAGCCTTAAGGTCTGACAAATCCATTGGAGGACAGGCCTTTTTTATACCAGATGACACCCCACTATCAAATTCTTTTGATTTCATGAAACCATTCCTTGAGAGCAGAGGCATGACTCTTTCTTCCTACAAGATTCCATTTTCTGCGGTTTATTGGCCACTTGTTATGTTTGAATTTGTTTTGAAACTTCTTTCTCCACTGGTGAGAATCAACATTCAAACAGCATCGTGCAGTGTCAAGTACATCAACATGGACCTTTACTTCAGAAGGGACAAAGCTGAAGCTATCCTGGATTACAAACCCATGTTTTCACCAAGTGAGGCCATGAAGATGTCACTCAATTTTTATAAGCATATGAAGTTATGAAATGCATGTACTACAATTAACTGTATTGGAAAGGACATGATGAAGGACTAATGAAGTTTTTCAAAATAAAAATAATATAATAATAATAATTTTCAAATTGATTGATTATATAGGGCTTTATGCAGACAGTATTTCAGCCATTTTCGGTGGTGTTCCAGATTTTTACAGGAAAATCAAAAATAATATAAAAAATTTTTGAACACAAGATTTGAAACCAGAAGTCTCTGACGAGACTGTAGCTCTACTGGTTGTACTTATAAAGGAAGATAAAAGTAGCACTTGGACTTGAAACTTTGCAGCAGCAATAAATAGAATGATGATCCTTGGTTTAGTCCCTTTTTGTGGCAAAATTTATTGCAATCAGACTAAAACTGTAGGAGGAGTAGCCTTTTAAAAAAAATTTACAGAAATTTCAATTTAAGTACACATGGGAACATCATTCGACAAAATTAAAAAACAATAACAACAATTACGTATCTCAGTGTAGTCTACTTGTGTGCCAAGTTATATTGTAATCAGATCAAAACTGTTGGAGGAGTAGCATTTTGAAAGTATTTCCAAGAAATCTCTATTTTTAGTAACCATGGCAACACCATTCATTGAAATCAAAAACCGATACACAGAATTATGTATCTTATTGTAGTCCACTTGTCTGCCAAGTTATACTGATATCGGTCCAAAGCTGTAGGAAAAGTAGCATTTTGAAAGTATTTCAAAGAAATTTCTATTTTTAGTAACCATGGCAACACCATTCATTGAAATCAAAAACCGATACACAGAATTATGTATCTTAGTATAGTCTACTTGTGTGTCAAGTTATATTGATGTCAGACCAAAACTGTAGGAGGAGTAGCGTTTAAAAAGTATTTCACAGAAATTTCTATTTTTAGTAACCATGGCAACACCGTTCATTGAAATCAAAAACTTATATACAGAATTATGTATCTTCGTGTAGTCGACTTATGTGCCAAGTTATATTGAAATCAGACCAAAACTGTAGGAGGAGTAGCATTTTGAAAAATTGTTTACAGACGGACAGATGGACGGATGACGGACACCTTACTATCGCATGATCTCTTCTGGTCTCTAACCAGTAGAGCTAAAAATTAATTGAATGGAAAAGAATTGGGAAAAAATAACTACTTCACAATTCCTGAAATTACATAAATGTAAATGAACTTAATGAAGGGCATTCAAATTTGATATTTCTGAAATCTTCAACAGAGGTTGTGAATGATCAGAGGACACACTTGATACGATATCAGGGCTCTCATTGTCGACTAATTTAGTCGCCATGGCGCCTAAAATTTCTCAGTAAGTCACCAAATTGGCGACCAGTTCAAATTAACTTTGCGATCATCAAATTCCAAAACTATAAATATTTTCATTATTTTTTTTTTCTGAAGAGAAGAAAAGAATCTTTACGATTGCAAAAGACACCCTCCCCTTCTTGGGACTAATCCAATGGGTCCATATATATCTAAATTGGCGCCTAAGAAAAATTTGCATGGCGACTAAAAATTTGCAATGGCAATTAATTCTTTTTTATTAAGAGTCAGCTGGCACCTAAATTCTAGAAGTCACTTAGAGGCCTGGATATAATATTACATGTACCTAATATTTTTATTTGAGCATTATTAAAAGGACATATTCCATTATATGTTCAATTCAACTTTGAATATTAGCATCCTGTCGACAATAATAAAGTATTTCGTAATTTCCTACCTTTTCCCAAAGTTCAGTCACTTGAGGAAGACTACTTATGTGCTTTATATTTATTTCATCTGGTTGTTGCTCCTCCATGTAAATCAGTAAAAGTCTTTTTAATTCAGGTGCAATCTGTTAACAGAACAATTACAGCTTTGTTTAGTGCCATTGTTTGGTGTCTTCCAGTCTTAATACAAAAAATCTGAAAGGTGTTTTACCTTTCATTAACGTAGACATCAAAACCACTTTTATTTAGCTTGATATAAAAAATATACAAAGAGAAAAAAATTGGTAAATGTTAATGTCTGGAAAGAGCACATTTTTAAATTATCCAACATCTGTTTTTCAATTCTTCTCTAAATGTTTTTATTTCTAACAACTGTATCATTTTTATTTGATTTATCTGCAACATAAGGGGGTCATGGATCACACAATCACTTGAGCAAACTGCTTTCATTTCACACTTCCAGATTACAAGTATTGAGGCCCTCTTTTGTGGTGTCAAACTATCTCAGAGCAATACATAAACTAATTTAATAAATTGTGAGTCTTGTTATTTTGAATAAGAGAACATATTCCAAAGGAAAACTTGAAATCCCAATCCAGACCAAGAGATCATGACTTTAACAAACTTGAATCAACATTGCATAGAAATACTTGCATATTAATTTGGCTAAACTCATCTTTTCTGTTCTGTTCAATAAAACAAAGTTTTACAGAATATTTTTTGGCAAAAACTATGTCCCTAACCAGCACTAAGGATCATGACTCCAGCAAAATTAGAATCTACACGACATGAATATGTTTAAATTATCAAAATAATGATTCCTAATCCTGCTCTTTTGCGAAAAAAAAAAAAAAGATGTGTTTTTGAAACACTGATGCCCCTTATAGCAAACTTATAGCAAAGGTTAACATTTCTCCAATGCAAATCAAATATGTTGGTACCCAAAGTAAGGTCTTGTCTCTGGGAATATACCTGTGAAATATGAAAGCCCTAGCAGCAAACACTGAATAGATATGGAAAAGGTTAAAGTTTTTCAAAAGTATGTCAAACATCAAGGTCAAATGGTCAAAATTAATGGTGCCTGAGGAAAGGACTTCTCACAAGAAGTACACATGTGAAATATGAAAGCCATAGCATTAATCATTCAAAAGTTATGGCCAAAGTTAAAGTTTTTTCAAAAGTAGGTCGAACTCCTAGGTCAAGGTCAAAGGGTCAAAGTTGTTGGTATCCAAAGAAAGTTCTTGTCACAAGGATTATATATGTGAAGTATGAAAGCCCTAGCACCAACTGTTCAAAAGTTATGGCCAAGGTTAAATGTTTTTCAAAAGTAGGTCAAACTCCTAGGTCAAGGTCAAAGGGTCAAAGTTGGTGGTATCCAAAGGAAGGTCTTGTCACAAGGATTACACATGTGAAGTTTGAAAGCCCAAGCACCAACTCTTCAAAAGTTATGACCAAGGTTAAAGTCTCATAGAATTTTGCAAATGTGGGTCAAACTCCAAGGTCAAGGTCAAAAGGTCAAATATGATGGTACCCAAAGAAAGGTCTTGTCACAAGGAATACACATGTGAAATATGAAAGACATAGCTCCAATCAATCAAAAGTTATGGGCAAGGTTAAAGTTTTTGAGGACAAACAGACAGACAGACAGACGGACTGGGCAAAAACTTCTTCGATACAGGGGCATAAAAATAAATTGAATTTTATTAGATATTCCAATATAAAATTTTGACTTCTTTCTTTGTCCACAACCTAGCACTAGAACACGAGTGGAACATACCCTGAATCTTTACTGGGTTCACATGCACTTGCATATCTATTAGACCGTATATACAGTAAAACTTGGTTATAAGGAAGTCACTGGGACTTCAAATTTGACTTCCTCATAACTGAGATTCTTTATATCCATATAAGGAACATAATAAAAAGTTGCCAAGGAGATTCATAAAAATTCCTTATAACCAAGTTCTTTATTATCAAGTTTTGCTGTAGTCTATTCTATAGATTTTTCAAGCATTTTCTTATTCAAAATTGATCTCTTATTATGGTCCTAACTTACTCCGGGTTTTCAAGACTGGAAAAAAACATAAATCTACACTACATTGGGATTTTTGCATATTAATTTTACCAATTACAGCCTCAATTTTCTGCAATAAAACAATTTCAAAGATTTTCATGTTAATTGCCCTAACAAGTTGAAATGTGAAATGCATAAACAATTACATACAGACAAACATGAATCGCACAAACTTTGATCAGAAAAGTTCACATAAACCTCTGTCTTACTTGAGCTGATAAAAGCATGTAAAGATAATACAACAAAACCAAAAGGCCATGAGATGAGTTACCTCTCCTTGGTATCCTCTTATACTGTTGCCTAGAGACATTTCTGAGAGCTCTTCCAGGACTTTCTTTGGTAAAGTATCCACGTCATACAATGTTCTGTACAGCACTGGAAGTTCTGCCATTCTGACAATCTCCATATTAGGATCTTCAATTTTATCTTGTATGTCTGTTAAGTTTTTCTCTAAATGCATTGTACACAATTTTATGCAAATTGTCTATGTGAGATGCTTGGTTTTCTTCCTTGGCTTTATGTACAGCATAAATGTCCAACTAAGTTCAAATGCTTGATCTCTAACAGTTTTTTACAGATGTTTAAAGTCATTACTATATATTTTCAAACATTTCATTCAAAAACATCTGTAGAAATTAAAAATGACCTCAGTAAGATTATCTAAGAATAAGAGTCTTATAAAAAAATAAAACACATTTATTCATGAACTGAGATATACAGTAATAAAAAGATACTATGATAAGATGCCATAACTTCTCGCTCCTCCCTGAAGATTCTAATTTTACCACGGACATGGACCAAGTCTCCAAGATAATAACCCTCATTCTTTTTACTTTCAGACATCATAATGGCTGAGACCTTCTCCTTCAACACTTTTGGTAGCTTGCTACCTCCCTTTATTAAGTGTTCAGTTTCTGTAAAAATAAAAGTATGGAATTTCATTGTGGATGTTACATCAGCTTTTGTTCAAAATATGGTAATATTTTACGTTTTTCATAATCTACCTTCTGGACTTTGTTTTTTCATTCTGGTTTTCCAACAGCAGCAAGTGATGACACCAGTTCCATCATCAACTTAGAAATATAAAAGCAAACATTAAAAGGAATCAATTATTTCTTTCTAAATGTAAACTTATAAACACCATTCAGAAGTATCCATGGCTTGAAGGACTTTTTAACAAATAAGGTACTTTTTTATAAAGTTTTATCAGGATGTAAATAAGAGTTGGTCACTTGATCAAATCCCATAACAAGTGGCCCATTGGCCACGTCGCTCACCTGAGCACACTGGCTAGGAAGAAGCAGAAATCAGTTCAGTATTGAATGGGGGGATGTTTCTTTAATAAGATGACTAATCATGGCTTTGCTGTTCTTGAGCAGAAGATTTTTTCAAGATGGTTCCTATATATTCTTAAGCAAAACTTTGACGCTCTGTTGTGCCCCCATCCCCTGGAGCTGAGTTGTTCTTGAGAAGGATTTCAAAGATATTTCCTATGTAACGTGTATGATCAGGATCTTACAAGGGATATATAGGGTTTTTTTTCTTTTACTCTGTCTGAGTTTATGACTGGAATGATTATTAAGACAGCTCTGTCTGAGGTTATATCACACAGTACTTAAATTTTCTCTTATCTAGAGAATGGGACCGGGTAAGGTACTACTTGCACCATGTTTCTCCCCTAGGTTCCCATTGATAGATAAGAACCAGATATCTCAATCTTCTTCAGATAAACTACACCCAGAACTTAACATCGATTCCTTAGGATACTTGCCACTGGTGTTTATAAATTTTATACTTTTATTTTTCTCTGACACTTAAGGTTTTCCATCCTCTTTCCTTAGATGTCCATCACATACATAATACTCTGATATTAATTTAAAGCATTTTACAGTAGAAAAGGATTTACCAAGAGAAAGTTTCATAAATGTAATTAAGCAGTAATATTAACAAAGAAGGCATTGAAGTCTATGGGGTTAAGCGATTTTTTTAAAAATAAAACATCAAATAATATCAAATAATACTGTGATGGAAAGATGCATTAAACATTAGAAATAGAATGACAATTGAAAATGATTTTTTTTTACCAGATAGATTAGAACAAATGCTAATAGTAATAAATGGGAATTATGTCTAAAAATACTGAGTATTCAACACCTACACATCTGTTATGTATTCAATTTCATTGAATCTGTTGCTATTAGGGATGGAATACCTTAACTTCTTTATTGATGACTCAACATCCAATTTCTTCTGCTAGCTTCTGAATGCCTGACTTTCTCAAAGCTTTGCCTTTTATACCCTTTGGTTTGGCCACTTTATTCCAAGGGTTGTCAGGTCATTCCATTATTTGAAGTTTACTAAATTGCCCCTTAACCATTGTATGTAAAACTTTCTTCAACTGTTTTGGCTCCGCCCTACCCCTGGGGGCCATGATTTGAACAAACTTGAATCTACACTACCTGAGAATATTTCTGTATTAATATGACTAATAATGGCTTAAAGAGGTTCGTTCCTGAGCTATTGAGCAGATTTTTGTCTAGACCTCTATCTAAAAAAAAAATCTGCATAATGTTTTAGTTCTTACAATAAATTTGGATTCTGCAATGCTAATTAATCTATATTCAATAAAAACCCCATGATTAAATTCCATACCGAAAGCATTAAGTGAGGAACTATATTTTGTGGTGGAAGGTTTTATAGAAGACAATGATCATTTTTTTCTCATTCGATATATTATCAGTATTGTTAAGTTTGGATTCCTATTTTTACATGCAACCTGCACACATAGTTATTTTGTTCAGTGAAATGTTTTATGCTGGTCCTAAATAATATATTAAATTAACCGTCATGAATTCTATTATCATATTGGACAAATATAACAAATAAATTGTGAAAGTCCTGGGGAAAAATAGCCCATTTTAGGTTAAAAATTAACACCATTTTAGTTATATCTAAAAATTAACATCACAGACCCCAACTTTTAATTTTATTTTCTGAATATACAAAATAATTTAAACCATTCTGCTTAAATTCAGAAAAATGTAATTATTTTCAAATGATTTTATTGCTTGTTAAATTTTTAATGCCAGAAAAATGAAATTTTTTGAGTGCAAAAAGGTCAAATAATTGACTATGCGAAGTAATTTGAAACTTTTTTGTTGTCACAAATTTTAAAGAGACTATTCAAGACGAAAAAAGACTGTGTTTGTTCCCATAATTTATTTGGATAAAAATATTAGAGGAAAAACTTAGAAAAATGTGTGACATAATTACAGTGCAAAAAGGTCATATTAAATGCTCCTTAGCGCCGAAAGAAGCACATTGACCCCCATTTTTGGTTTTGATTTTTAATTAAGCTATGTGTATAGATTCCAAAAAAAATATTTGATGAAAAATTCTCACTACTTTTGATAACAGGATCCATCCTCCTTAACTGTTCTTGAGGAGAAGATTTAAAAGACATTTTCTATATATTGCTATGGTAAACTTTGACCCCCTGTTGTGGCCCTGCCCTACCCCCAGGGGTAATGATTGGAACAAATTTGAATCTACACTACCTGAGGATACTTCTATTATAATATGACTAACCATGGCTTTGCCGTTTTCAAGAAGAAGATTTTTAAAGACACTTCCTATATATTCCTATGTAAAATTTCGACCCCCTCTTGTGGCCCCGTCCTATCCCCTGTGGTTATGATATGAACAAATTTGAATCTAGAATATGTAATGAAGCTTTCACCTAAGTTTCATCTTCTCTTGCCCAGTGGTTCTTGAGAAGAAGATTCTTAAAAGATGCCACCAAATTTTCACGAATTCTTAATTATCTCCCCTTGAAAAAGGGCGTGGCACTTCCTGTGAACAAACTTTAATCCCCTTTACTCAAGGATGCTTTGTGGCAAGTTTTGTTGAAATTGGCCCAGTGGTTCTTGACAAGAAGTCGAAAATGTGAAAAGTTTACAGGCAACAAATGGACGCAGCACACTCTTTGATCAGAGAAGCTCACTTGAGCCTTTGACTCAGGTGAGCTAAAAAGCTTACAGGGCTTTATGATAAATTTGTTCACTTTTACATCCCGATAAATGTCTAAAATGATACCTTATTACTTATATTCGCAATTTTAACTGATTTATAACAAATATATGCATACTATCGTTTTAAATCCATGGAATTTTTTATTTTTTCCAAACCTAAATGGTATAAATTGAATGTGTTGAACTGCTTATGACGTCACTGTAAAATTATGACGATCCTTTATGACTTAACAATGAAATTATGGTCATGTGACGAACCTGTTTTTATACAAACTAAATACATCCTTGTTCAAATAGTGTTATACAAGGGAAAACATTTCAAACGTAAATATAAGGAAATAGATTAGTAAACATATGCAAAAAGCAATTTCCTGCTTGTTAATAAATGCACATTACTTCTTCTGCAACTCTGGGCCTCCAACGTATTTTGATTTGAAGTAAAATAGAAAAAAATACCGATATTTTCACTTTCATTACAGTGCAAGAAACCACCAGCTTTAAATATGTACATATAGATGTTGGGTTCTTCATAATTTTTTTTAATTAGTTAAGGAATTGAAAATGGAATTCCTCATGGCCTTTATATAGTAATGCTTGGTTGAAAGTCTAACAAAAGCTCCCTTTGTTTTAGCACATTTAAAATTTTTGACAATTAAATTACTGTCTCAATCTCAACACTTCAATATGTGAATAGACAAAACTGAGGAATACATACAATGTCACTATTAAATAAAACATATTTTTTAAAACAAAAAATCTATTTTATGAAAGTGCAATTTTTAGTTAAGATTAAGTAAACATACCTGCATAAACAAAACATTTTATATTTTCTTGTCTTTTTACTACAACTCCAATGATGTCCACTTTATAAATTGGATGCTTTTTATACCAATACATTCCTATTAAAAAAACATGTACTTTTTTGATAATATAGAAATGAAAAAAAAATATTCATACTTTTTTTTTGTTCTAAGAATCCCTATCTACATGCACTTCTGAAAGAAATATAACAGGGAAGGGAGAAAATGCGAGGGACTAGACTAGCTAAGAGTCAAACCTGTGCCCTTGATTTCTAGACATGAACATGTCTAAATGCTAGAGAAAATTTGTAATAGGTGGTATTTAAAATTCATAAGGCAGATAAAAAATTCGTGTATAAATAAGCCAGGATATTTTTTCTGTGAAGAAAAGAAAATGTATTCATTTTTTTAAAAAATACTAATGGCCATGCATTTGACACCAAGGCAACAATAAATTTAAAAACAAGTGTTCAAGATTTATAATTCCAAGAGTTATGATGCAGTTCGTCCCCAGTCTTGATTGACATACCTGGAATAATATTGCATGCTTCCAAATTAATAATGTCTTGGATATACATCTTATTAAATGTATGAAAACTGAAATCCAAACCACAAAGGTCGCTCGGAATTCTTTCATTTAAATTTGTGAACCCCTTATTTCCATCAACTTCCAATGTATTTCCACTCATTGTGCTGTTAACTATAAGCTACCTGAGTAAAATTAAATTAAAAAATGAAAGTGACACCCAGGGATAACGTGTCAATTTCTACGATTAATTCAATGATGTTGAAATTTCGCGGGAAGAAATCAAATAGGAAATGAACCTGTTTCTAAAAATGAGAAAATAGTTATCGTATAAACATATATATTCCGGAATAAAATTTTGCCAAGCCATCCCCTCCCCCCTCATTTCTGGATAAGTTTTTACGATGTAATAAGATTAATGTTATTACATAGGAGGTGGTAGATTCACTCAGTGTGCTGTTGCAAAGAATGATTAACATTTTATCTCGAGTCAAGCGTTCCGACAGATTTACCTGTTAATACACATACATTCAAGTAATAAATATGTAGGCCTATGTATTTATGAAATTTTCGTACTCGAAGGTCTGATGAAATGAAGATCATAGCCACAAGGACCACCACATCAGTAGAAACTCTATGGAATGTATTTAAGAAAGACATCCAAGACTCATTTCAAATGTTCCAACAAGAAACAGAAGAAAAAGACCATCTGTACCATGGTTTAACTGCAGACTTAAAAGTATGTCACGCCGTAAATCTAGACTATACAAACAAGCTAGAAAAACCAAGCAATGGGGAGTCTTTAAGGCCTATCAGCAAGAATGTAAGAAGGCCTTTAAGAAGGCTGAAATCAACTATATCAATGACACTATACAAATGGGGCTCAACAAAAATGACACTAAACCTTTTTGGCATTTTGTTAAATCCAGAAAACAGGACTTCATTGGTGTGGCACCCCTAAAAGAATGGAACGACTATTGAGTGGGAGCAAAGATAAGGCACAAATATTGGTGGAACAATGTAGTCAGTATTCACCAAAGAAGATGGAATTTCATGCCTACCAGCGACCAGAAAGAGAGCGGAAAAACCAATCCCAAAACTACACATAACCAGTGAAGGGGTGGCAAAGTTACTAATGAATATAAATATCTGTAAGGCCCAGATAAGATCCCAAACATTGTACTAAAAACGCGTGCAACCCAACTTGCCCCAGGATTGGCCATCATATTCCAACACTCTGTGGATGCTGGAAAACTCCCCCAAGACTGGCTCTGTGCCAACATAGCACCTAAATTAGAGAAAGGGGATGTTCACCTTGCAGAAAATTATAGATCTGTCTCACTCACTTGCGTCGTATGTAAACTTCTAGAGCATATCATCTGCAAACACATTCTGGACCACTTAGAAGAAAACAGTATACTTACCTCTCTCAATCACGGTTTCCGTGCCGGCTTTTCCTGCGAAACACAGTTAATCACAACAGTACATGACCTGCTGCAGCATCATGATCTCGGTTCTCAAGTAGACATCGCAATTTTGGACTTTAGTAAAGCGTTCGATACTGTACCACTTAAAAAACTTCATAAACTTAACCAGTATGGAGTAAATGGTAGAATAAAGGCATGGCTAAGTGATTTCCTAACAAATCGGTTGATGAAAGTTGTGGTAGATGGCGAGAAATCCGAAGCAGTCGCAGTTGTCTCAGGAGTACCCCAAGGAACTGTACTGGGACCACTGATGTTCCTCTGTCACATTAACGACTTACCTGATTCAGTACGATCCACAGTTCGTTTATTTGCAGACGATTGTTTGTTATATAGAGCAATAAAGAAACGAGAGGATCACTTAGCACTTCAAAAGGATCTACACGAATTAGAAAAATGGGCAGAGCTTTGGGGTTTGCGCTTCAACGCTGAAAAATGTTATATACTATCGATAAGTCAAAAGTCATCTTTTTTCTATCAACTGAATAATCACATCCTACAACAACTACCAGAGAATCCTTGGAGTAACAATTTCAGAGGATCTTAAATGGTCAACTCACATTAACAAGATCTCAAAAAAGGCTAGCTCAACACTTGGATCCCTAAGAAGAAATCTTAAACACAACCCTCTTGACTGCAGAAAAAACAGCCTATTTATCGTTGGTGCGCTCAACCCTAGAATATAGTTCAATTACTGTAGAATGGCAAATAATCACGATGGTTTTAATTTCACTATGTTCACGATTCATCATTTTACCGCGAAATTAAATCCATCGTAAATGCTATCATTAGTTTTTAAAAACGTTTAAATACTTAAAAAAAAAATTAATTAATTTCTTGCAGCGTGAAATTAAAACCATCGCGATTAATACTTTTTGAGAAATCGTGAAATTTTAACACCGTGGAATTAAAACGACTATGGGATCCCCATATTCGTAAAGACATAATGAAGCTAGAAAAGGTGCAACGCCAAGCAGCACGTTTCATCACAGGGGACTATGCGTCAAAAGACCCAGGATGTATTACACAGATGCTAAGCAATTTAAAGTTACCAACTCTACAGGATAGAAGAAAAGCAAATCGATAAGTCTTCTTCTATCAGGTGGTTGAGGGACTGGTCCCAGCCCTGCCAAGTCATGACTACTTAACTTCTATTAATAAAAATAAACGGAAGATCAGTGCGCGTTCATTCAAGGATTTCGACTCACTTAATTTAATTACAAAGCAAGCCAAAAATAATTCAAAATGTTTCAAACCGTTCACTTGTTAAAAGGATCAATTCGGACATTCATTTTTTCCAAGAACTGTGGTAGATTGGAACCAGCTTGAAGAAAGTGTTGTGTGTGTAAAGACAGTGGCTACTCTTCGAGTAGCCGTGCACCAGTGGAACTAGGCCAAACTCTATCTCCCGTAGCATTTATGCCGGAAGGCCCTGCATGCTACGTAATTATCCAGATCCAGAAGGTAGGTCTAGACGAGAGAATAAGTTCTTCTATGAACATGTGCCCTGGCTATCTATTTATATATTTGAATCAACTTAAAAATAAAAAATTCGTCTCAAACAGTTGGGTTTCCTTTTCCCTTTTCTTTCTTTTTTTCTTTCTTTTTTATTTTTATTTGTAGAAAACCAAAGAATAAAGCCAGAATGCATTCCGCAACTTGGGTAGATTATCTGTTGTGTATACATTATATAGATACAAGTATGTTTTTATGGAAAGAAAGAGAGAGCGCCGGATATTCAATATTGTAGGGAGGTTAAATCCCGCTATGTACTTGCATGCATGCATGACGGAGCCTGGGTTCCAGTTTCATTCCTCACACGTGCTTTCCTTGTGACAAGACCTTCCATTGGGTACCAATATTTTTACCTCATGACCTGAGAGTTTGACCTACAGTGTACTTTTGGAAAAACTTAAGCCGTAGGGGAGGGGGGGGGGCAGAAATATGCCACCATATAAACCAAACTTTAACCTTGGCATAATTTTTGAATGGTAGGTGCTAGGGCTTTTATATTTCACAGGTGCATTCCGTGTGATCTTTCTTCGGATACAAAGATTTTTTACTTCGTGATCTTGACCTTGAAGTTGGACCTACACCTAAGCCACATTTAAGCCGATGGTCGGGCGACCATTTTTCTCGTATCGTCGGCTGAATAGAAATGATCGCAGACAGTAGGATCGGGCGACGCAGAGTAGTCATGTTAATTCCTAGCAACACCAATGCCTTTAAAAGTTAAAACATTTATAAGTCGGCTAACCTTCGCCCGATCATCGTTCGCTGAGCCGCAGTTTGATTTTCACCGTCGGCCGACATTTACGAAAACCGACAATTACGGCCGACTAAACAAACTGTCCGCCGATAGTCGGACGATGATCGAAGGTTGGTCGACGACTGCGTCAATTGAAGGAATCGGCCACCGACGCAGAAAAAAATTATAACTTGGCCCGACTGACACAAAATTGGTAGACCGACGAAAAAAAGGTCAAGATCGGCCGATGAACTGCCGACTGTCGCCCGAAGAATCCCATTTTTTGCCTCAAAAACCGTCGGCCGTCGATCGATTTTGGAAATATGACCTGGGGATTAACTTATGAAAGACTTTAACCTTGGCCATAACTTGTGAGCGGTTGGTGCTACAATGATGCGCATCGAAATGGTAAAATTTATCGTTTGAATGAATCGTTTTGAGCTTTTTTTTTTTTTAAAGTTGGTTGTTACATAACGACAAGCCCATTTCTTCAGAAAGGAGAAAGTGGTTTATTGTAGGGGTGAGTGGGCGGGGAAACGCCAGTTTCCACTGAGAGAGAGAGAGAACCCTCGATTGTTTTACCTACTTTTGAAAAGCTTTAATCGACAGTTGGTATTAGGGCTTTCATATTTCACATTTAAGTTTGACCTACTTTTGAAAGACGTTTACCTTGGTCCTTGGCGATGAGCTGCCATACGGGGGCATCAGTGTTTCACAAACACATCAGGCCCGTAGAACGCGGGGGAGGGGGGGTCCCCCTACTTTTTTCTTAGTATAGTATTTTGCTATATTAATTTTTCCTTTAGATGCTGGTTGCCCCCCTCCCCCCTTTTTTTTGACGTTGTAAGGTCGAGTACTGGCAAATTGTAGGATGTGTACAGTAAATTAGCTTTTTTTATTGCTTGTCAGATAATTTTGGGAAGTTGGTCCTCCTCCTCCTCCCACTTTTGGTCAGTTTAGGTTTTTTTTCTTTTTTCTTTCTTTTTTTTTTCTTGTTAGGTTTTTTGGGAAGTTGTTTGCCCCACCACTTTTGAAACCGTTGCTACGGGCCTGCACATCTTGCTTTTATTATATGAAATATCCATGTTTGTAAACACACTTTTTTAAAAGTTAGTGTAATAAAAAATAAAAATTCAGTAAATTTAACATACGATATCCTATGATTATTGTAGGGCTAAGATTAGCGATGATTTCTTGGTAAATGCAATACACTGTCATACAATATTTTGAAATTTTTAAGGGGTAAAACGAACACCCCAACCCTCAAAAATCTTATATAATGTTTTGGCAATGTATGGAAATGTTGTTAAAAAGTCTTCGGTATTTGAATCTCACATCTTTTTATAAAAGTGTCTGTATTTTAAAATGTATCGCAATACATTTTTTGTATCGTAACTTAATGTAGCGGAATATTGGCATTTTTGTCCAGATCATATGCATGTTGCATGATATATTGCACTGTAAAACAACACATTAAGTTGATTTAGAGTAAAGGAAGCCTCTTTCAGAACATTTGCTGCATCCACCGATGAGGATCATGTTTTCAAAGCTGTGACCAGATTTTAGTAAAAATTATGAAGTATGGAGGAGGTCCACAAGGACACAGATGAATCTATCATATTCTAAGAGGAACCTCTTACATATACGGATGTTTCCTCCCTCAGATGTCACTTAACTAAATGATGAACAAAGAGAGATAACACAAAACGGTAAAAACGTGTCAAACCTGTACTCCGACACGGTGTGAATTGGTCGAGGTTTGTAAAAAGAAACAACAAACAACATGTATAGGTTTTCTAACTTTTGCAAATTAGTTACTTTTTTTACCTGATTTTTTTTCGAGTTTCTTATATTCTTTTCAATTGTCAAAAGACGAATCATGGAAACGGGTTACAAAAATGTACATTTTTATTGAACCTTTTTAATTCTCCCTTTGCAAAACTGATTTTTTCTCCAAAGTTTGTGTTCAGTTTTACTTGTTACTCAACACGGCTCTTTGGTACGATAATTCTCAGTCATTCAGTGCATGTTATGACAGAGAAGAGAATACCTTCGTAGACTGCTCAAATAAACAACTGAAAGGTGGAGGATCGGAATATTGTCTGTGCATTCTCCAGTACATATCATGACGGAATGTAATGTCTAGAGTCTGCAAAAATAAACTATGTTCGCGATTTATGTAATCATTAATGAAAAAGAATCTTATTCTTTCAGGAAGGGTGCGACAGACTTATGCCAAACATGCAAGACAATGTGTAGGGGATAGGCAGAGGGCAACGTGTATTTACAGATAAATCAACTGGTTTACAATCTCTACCGAAATTTCATTATATTTTGTGTATTTCTGCTTTGAAATTGCTTGCCCAAATGATAAATGATATTTGGAGAATGTTCAAAGATACACGAGAAACTTAAACATTAATGCATTTCTGTTCAAGAAATTGAAAGATAAACAAATATTTACTTCGAAATTTCAAGAATTTTTTTAAAAAAGAGAATATTTATATTTTAAAATCTGAAATGAGCTCATCATTCGTTTTTGGACAAACTAATCGTTTAAAAGCGATATTAAAAAAAGTAAGTCTGATGAATTGGTAGAATTGAAGAAGATGTTCGTGTTTTTCCATTACATGCCAATGCTTTAATATTAATGGATGTGAAATGAAATACTGGAGTAGTTCACAGACGCATATTGAAATCAATTAAATGTATTTAATAAATATGATTTAACAATCCTTTGTTTAATTCACAATATCCTATAAAAATTGAAGACAATTAACTCCAATTGTACATTTATATAAGGAAATAATTCACGCACTTAGAAAACCTGTGGGAAGAAAGTTCAGACTGCATAAACCTAGAGAGTGAAATCAAGAAGCACTTATGAATCATAAATTGTACCCAGAACCGATTTTAATGTCCAGGTAGTTCTAATGCTCAGATGCTATCATCGCTGACACAGGCATTCTGTGCAGTCATTGATCAACTCTCGCAGGAAGTCTATAAAACGAGCAGAAAGCTACAGCGCTGTAATTTCACTGCGGTATTCACTATGGCTCAGTTTAACGGAAAATGGGAGATAGAATGCAGCGAAAATTTTGGCGAGTATATGAAAGCTATTGGTAAGTTTTCACTTTTTTCCCCCGAAACCAAAACAATTATACTGATTTGATGAATTGTTTACAGCACTTTTATTAAATTTCAAAGTGGAGTTTATTCTCACTGGCACTAATTAATGAGTCAAATGAAAGGCGTTTTTGTGTAATTTTTTTAATGATCACAATTTTGTCTTTATGATATAAATCGCTATTTTTCTACAGGAAACACTATATGTATAGTATTGAAAGATCATTTAAAAAAAATGAATATTTCTAAATATCAATGAAGATAAAACATCCGGAAAACCCTTTAAAAAGCTATAAAAAAACCTTAGTAGATTAGCACATCTTAAAATTGTGCTTAAAATGTTGCAGTTTAATGATAAGATGTAATGTTTCATCTTATGCTGTATTGTCTTAGTCTATGGCTATAAATATTTATTTTGCTAGATGCATGCAATTGTCTTCATATATATATACAATATATTACTTAATCGTCCTGTACATTTTTTTGGCCCATGCACAATATCCTTAATTAAACTTCCTGTGACCTTCATAAGAAACAATACCCTACGTTCCAGTCATAAATTTCTCATGAGATGCATAACTTCTGCAGTTATCTTTATGTCCCCCCTTGAGAAACCTTGCTTATTCATCTGTTGTCACACTGTATTATCTATACTGACTAAAGTGAGACCAGCTTTATCAATATTGGTCTGTTTATGTCTATTGATTTTGCAAAAATGAATGAAATGTGATAAGAGATATCACAATACAGAACGATAAATATTGCAATGATCGCTGACGATGTCAACTCCCTTAATGATGTATTGTAATCTTGTAATGTATGACTGCATGTAAACCATTTTTTATCATAAGTGGACGAAATTATACTCAATGTGAAGTAGTTAAGACAAATTTCATATCGCATCGCTTTCCATAAGGTAATTATATATATATATCATAAATGGTCATTGCATCATTAATTATTACAAGTTTTAAAAATATTCGAAAGAAAAGGAGGGTAACATTTCACATGTCATAAAACTTGGAGTATTTCAAAGTAATAGCACGCAGATGAGGCTTATATAGCAGAGAGAAAGATGGAGATACATGTAGTATGGAACAATAATCTTTTAATTCTTATCTAAAACACTGATAAAAGAATGAATTAATATCTGAAATTAACAATCAATGCGCTAGATAGAGCAAGTATTTCTCAGGCACCATGTAGATTTCGCTCACGTTTTCTTTCACACCATGGAGGATAGTGCTTTTTGTCTTTAATTAAACGCCTCTTTTAATGTCTGAATTCTTGATTGGTTGATGAATACCTAGATCAGAAACGCACATCTGCAGTAGGAATTTCCTCGCCGAACAAACATCAGACATTTTTTATTTGCAGTAGATAAACGAATTATTAAGGAGCATCTTTCAGATATATTTGTTAGGCCGTGGTAAATAAGTTAGTTTTACGTCCCTTATTTCCTGGAAAAGGTACCCTCTAGTCCAATCCAAAAAAAAAAAAAAAAAAAAAAAAAAAAAAAAAAAAAAAAAAAAAAATCAAATAAACATTACAAGATCTAAAATAATTAGAAAAATATTGATTTATAAATCACACATAAGAATAAAAATATGATAGACATTTGAACAGCTTTCAATTTATGTTTTCCTCCTTACGATTTTTTGCTTTGTTCCTTTCTCTCTCAAAGATTAAAAAAAAATACTGTAGCCTTAAAGTGTACTAAATTACAATATTTCTGAAAATACAATGAGAAATTGTTAAAAATATGACAAACCTATGTTCTTTTTTTTTTGACTGGATTTTCCTGAAAACATACCCGCTCGGTTACGTTAAACAAAGAATTAATTTACTTTGGCCTTATTGTGTGCTATCCTGTGTACCCCGTGTCTAGGCTACATTTGTTTAACGGTTTGAAAATTAAGAGGTTAATTTCATTTTATTAAGTTTAGGAGATATGCTGGTATTATTTAAATTAACTGGCAAAATTCTGAACTGGCATCTAAATTAATTGTATAATATAAATGTGTGTAAACACAAGCGCGAAGTGAGTTGTACATGTAGATATGCGTGCACCTGCATGATGTCAGTTGACAATTACCAGGGTAAGGACAAAGGATAATAAAAAAATAAAAGTATGTTTTATAAAGATTGAAAAACAGTTTGTACAGGCTTCATTCTTGCTAAGATGTGATTATATTTACCATAAAGTTTTACTTTAAGCCATTTATGTTCTATGAAAAAATACAAGAAGCATATGAAGTGAGCCTTTTTCTGTGTTTCCCATTATATAATCACACGGCATATAAATACTTGAAATACATCAACGTCCAGGAAATCTATAAGGAAATTTTTGGGAGATTTCAATATATATATATATATATATATATATATATATATATATATATATATATATATATATATATGAAAGTATTTATTAATGAGAGAATGCAATAATAAGGATGGTTTTAAAAGAAAACTTTCTGATAAATATGTGTTTTATCAATGATAATATTTGTAAAAACTCTTTTAAAAATTTAATTTTATATCATATTCTTTCTTGGGTATTCTATATCTTCGTAGTATCTGTGAGTTTACAACAATTTTTCCTAATAATTGCTATTAAGGCTTTTTCGATCGATGTTTGTGTCTAATGTAAAATTGATGATTAAAAGTTGAAAGTTAATAAACAATTAGAGGAAATATTACAATCTATGAGTATATAAATCAAACGAAAGTCACTGAAAATTATGTTAAAATTGGATTATTTCAAGGTCTAATATTCCCTTACTAATTCTTATAGTATGAAATGCATATAAGTTAGAGTTGCGATTCAATAGCGATTTGAAGAAGAAGGTACGATTTGGGCTTTATTGTGCCCTAAAAATTTAATGTTTCTAAAATAGTTATAAAATTTGTTTAAATATGAGTTGAGTATATAAATGTGATAATTCATGAAAGAATGTGGCAGAAAGGATGATCATTCTGGAAATATGACGTCATTAATTTGGTACATTTCTGTTTTAAACAGAAAAAGCCTCAAAATGACTCAATTATGGTTTAATTTCCCTTAGAAAATAGTGTCCACTTCAGTTTTTGGATATGTTGTGTAAAATCCTTTTAAAAATCACATTTATCAAAATCCTTGTGGGGGATGCATGTGCTATATATTATTTGATAGAAAATTTCAATGAAAATTGATGTCTTCTGCTACTTTTAAGAAAATACAGGAAAATTCACAAGTTCATGATTTAACAAATAGTATTTAGGAGGTCATATGTGAAGAAGGAATTGTATGTTCTTACTGCATGGAATTTCAATGATTCAGGAAGCATAAGTTTTAATTTCTTGCATTACTTTCATATTTAAAAATAAATACAGGACCAGATTTGTATTGAAACCGTACCTTGTTCTTTACGAACTGCAATTTCCTCTATATAGAATGTATTTTTTGTTTGTCTTTTGGTTTGGTTTGGTTTGTTTGTTTGTTTTTTGTTTGTTTATTTGTTTTTTTTAGCTTTGTTTTTTTTAAAATACATATTATACATTTTATACATATTATATCATATATTTTAATAATCAGATGAAGAAACTAAAATCAAGAGGAACTGATTTTAAAGCTAACTTTCTATGACATGGTACTTGATCGTAATAAACAAACCAACGGGGAACTGTGGCTGCATTGTGCAAATATAGTCTGTCTGAATTAATTTAATCAATAACGTCATCAATATATGATGTTTGCTAATTGGTTGTGTAAATTCAACAAGCATTCCATATCTGTTGTTATTCGGTCAATAAAACAATCTTAGTGGCTCAATGAAAGGAGATTGCTGACAGTTTTGAGATCTCTCTCTCTCTCTCTCTCTCTGAGGCACAGTACCTGGCCATAAGTGGGTCATAATTTAATTTTTTTGCTGTATATTTCTTTGAAAATTGCCTTTTGGGGATAAAATGTAGCCTTATCTGTAGATCATTTCTTATAAATATGGCATCAAAGAATGCAGATTTTTTTTTAGTTTTTTCACATAATTTAAAAATAATAGTATTGTCGGTTTTGTTAAGAAATCATGGTATTTTTAGGCTAGAAAATTTGCCTTGATGATGTCTTAAATTTTTCTCTTTGATCAGTTTATCGTTTGGCTTATTGCATTCAGGATTAGAAAATATTTAAAAACAGTTCTCCATAATTAAGTGAATAAAAAATGAAACGGAAATTGTGTTGAAATTGACATCATAATAAGCTTTTATAACAATTGGTTTTTCACTGAAATAAATACGCGTATAGTGAACAAATGAGAATATGACTTATTTATGGCCATATAATATAAATTTATACTGATTCCTTATTAGTATTAGTTATGTATAAGGGTTTTTTCACCCTTTCACAGTTGCACACGATTTCGTCCAAGCAGACACAATTGTGTTATAATAGAGATATTACTAATTCGCTAATCGACGACGGAGAAAAGTACAAAAAATAAACAGAGCGAAATTTTCTTCGTATACGATATGCCACCAAAAACCTCATAGCCTGAACCAAGGTCAAGTTGGTCTGCTTGGATTTTTTTCAGTTACCCTTCTATGCACGATGTTACTGTAAAACGTATATGTGTGGCTACTGAGCTTTATAGTTAAATGCTTCAAATGTTGTCAATATTGATATTTTTTCAGAATCGTACAATATTTTAAAGATTGACATGTGCATTTTTGTCAAATTAATTGAAAAAAGTTTCATCATCCATTGAATTTTATTTCAGGTGTAAGTGATGACAAACAAGCAGAAGCCCAGAAATTTTTAGGGGATGATTCCAAATTGACCTACGATATCAGCAATTCCGGGAATGACTGGGTCTTCAAAATTACCACCCCTGCGGGAGAGAGGGAGGTCAAATTCAGCCTCGGTTCTGAATTCGACACTAAAACCTTAGATGGCAGGCCAGTCAAGGTATATACATTTATATTATATAAAATTTAGAATTATATCAAGGTTTTTCTTTTTAACAAAAACGAAAAACAATTTTTTGCTTCATAAGACTTTTTAGAAATACGCGATACTCTAAATTAGAACAGTTTGATCCACTTATCATAACTGGGCTGGGGTCAATCAAGGCAAACCGTTCTCAATATACTTGCAATAAGTATTTTTTGCATTCATTCACAATTATAACGTCGATATAAAGACATAGAATGACACTGACTATAAAAAAAAACTTATCAGGTTTCTTCTGTAGAATAATTATCTTTTTTCCCTTCTGAAGGCTGTGTTTACGATGGATGGAGACACTTTGATTGAAAAGCAGACAGGTTCTGGTTTTGAGACGACCAACAAACGGACAGTGTCCGGAAATACCCTGACCATGGTAAGAAACAGACATAGGTAAAATCCAAAGATTTACGAGTATTCTCTTAGAGGAGCTCATTAATTGCGCAGGTTTGTGGATGCATGGATTGCAACTTTAAAAAAGTCTTGAATTCATTTGAACACACTTGTGTTTTATTGCTTTAAAAAGAATGGAGGGGGTTTGGGATATGGGCTTTTCTAGTAATTTACTATATACGGTGGGTATTGAATAGAAAAGTGTAGCTGCATACCGAAGGTAATACAATTCTATTGTATAATCTGATTTACTTTTTATCTGAGGAATTAAACGAGACGAAGAACATATGGTTATCACAGAGGCTGACGTTAATTTCCTTTGTAATTTGTTCAGTGCTCACCATGGAGCGAGAGTCTGGTTAACATTTATTTTCTTCTGCGACCGTTCTGCAATTAGAAAAATAAACGGTCGGATATATAAGAAAAAAAAGAACAAAGGACAGTAGATTAGCACATCTCTAACATTGATATAACTTTTAGTTTAACTCCTGGAGTTAAAATGGCTTTTGGAAATATACAACATCTGTACTTGTTTCTCTACTTCAAAGACGTGAACTTAACAAACAGATACATTTCTTAGGATGGATGGGTGTGTGCAATGAGATCCTCTTACCCCCCTCCCCAACCCCCCACCACACATATACAGAGAGAAATGGATGCTTGCGACTTGCATAAATCTTTGTACAATATATAGTGCAATATGAGCAATTTAATAAATTATGCATGTCCATTAGAGAACCAACTTACTGTTCATATTTTAACTCGTGTAGATCTATCATATGCACGATACAGCGCTTTTGGATATTATACAGATTCATGTATCTAATTCAAACGCCGTGCGTGTTCCAAATAGATACTGATTTGAATTATTAAAATAACGTGCTATATTGTATTTCATTAACTTTCCATCTCAGATTTCGTTTATACTATAGTTAATATATCACGAATAATCCCTGATTCGTATGTTTGGTATTTTCATTTTTTTTTTCAGGTCATGACAGCTGGAAATGGTGTTTCGTGTACGAGAAAATACAAGAAGATATAAACTAAATATGATTATACTTGTAAGTTTATTTTGTAACGATTTTGAAAATGTACATTTCTTAATTTTATTATGATAATCATGACTCTATTGTTCATACATTCATTGTAGTACTTTTTATGTGTTTTCTGAAAGTTCTACATAAAAATGAGATTTAAACTAGTTTTAATTTGTTTTTATATAAATCTCTGAAAAAAAAAACAGGAAACCAACCATATATATATATATATATACAGAGTGTTTCAACAAACATGTCCCGACTTTCGATGCATGTGTATATTTTTGCACAATAATAAAATGTTTACAAAATTTTATCTGTATTTTATAGCACATTTTCCGGCAATTTAATTGTGATATAAACAATATAAAATAACGTCATTTTATTTTTTCCATTGAAGTTTTGATTACATCTTCAAAAATCAGGTAGTCAGGTTTTTTTCTCCAAAAATGGATCTATGGATGTTTTTGAACTAAATAATACAAACAGAAAATCTCCGAAATCACCAATTCTAGTGCATAAGATTTTGAAAAAAGTACTCATATGAAATCCATCTTTCTAAGGAGCAGACTTTTCAAATGATGTCAAAATATATGCCATACAGGACTTCAAAGACAAAACGAGGATGCTGACTTTAAAACATTGCGGCTTTTTCGAACACATAAAAAATGACGTTAAATTGAAAACTGCTGCTGATATTCAAACTTTAAAAATACCTGTCTTGAAAAATGTTGATTCAGCATTTCTTAAAATTTCATATTGATAAAATTGTTTGGTTATGTGGTTTTCATTTTTGCAAAAATTTTCTTACATTAATACTGTGTAACTTTATATTGAATCCGAAAAGTCAGGACATGTTTGCTGAAACACTTTGTTATCTATCTATCTATCTATCTATCTATCTAAAGCACATTTTTACAACAACTCTTAAACTAACATAACTTCCCTAAGTGAAGAAATATTAATATAGAAAGCACAAAGAAATTCACTTTTACAAGGATACCCATTTCATACAACGTGTATTAGTAACGATCCTCTAATAAAACTAATGTCCAAATAACTGTATCTCACTTCCATTCTCAATGACCGTGTAGTGTAGGGCAGCGTCGCGAGAATTCCATCGGCATCGAAAGCAAGTTTTTTTGACTTGCCTAGATAGCTGAGCGGTCTAGCGCGCTGTTTCTGTACTGCTAGGAGACAGATTCCGTAGGTCGAGAGTTCAACCCCGGGTTGGGGCGGAAGTGGGTATCCTTGTAAAAGTAAATTTCTTTGTGCTTTCTATATATATATATATATATATATATATATATATATATATATATATATAATCTTTCTTTCTTTGTTAATGTGGGATTCACGGTTGCAACCATTGCAGAAAAAAATTACATAACGCGCTTACGCAGGTTATGTTTTCTGCCGAAGTTGCAACTGCTAATTCCCGCATTAAGAAACAATGGAAGCATTTTATTGTTTAGATAATGACACCCATCGAATAATGACCGGAATTCATTTTTCTGCCTGAATATTTTTTATAATCCAAATTTTTAATTTTTATGAAAAACTAATTCTGTAAATCACTCGATTAATCCAGAATTAGCTAGAACCATTTTTTTTAAAGCCATCTGTGTGAAAAATTTCTTTAAAAATGGACTCTTCCATCAATGTAACGTACGGATACATAATACAATATTTTTTCGTATTTTCACCCATGATTTGAACAAACTTGAATCTAAACTTAGTCTACCTGAGGATGCTTTAATATAACTATGACCGATCATGGCTTTCCCATTCTTTAGAATAAGATTTTAAAAGATTTTTCATATGTATTCCTATGTAAAACTACGATTGCACACTGTGGCCCCACCCTACCCCGGGATGTGACGGTACATATTGTCGTTTTGTACATATTGTCGTCGGCGACAATATGTACCTACTCTCACGACACATATTGTCGACCATCGGTACATATTGTCGCCGGCGACAATATGTACCGAGACGAGCCTTATTTTCCTCCTGCATAATGGACGACAAAATGTACAGTCAAGCACCAGCACACATTGTCGTTGGCGACAATTTGTACAGTCAAGGTCGGCATATATTGTCGTCGAAAAAATTGTTTTGACGAATATTTACTTGAAAAGGGAAAGAGATATTGACAAACACACATACACGCACGGAGGAAGACGGACAGTATTACTCGCAATACTGCAGGGAGAAAACTTTTTGGACAGCAAATTGTGTCCAGGATTGAAGTACTTCACTGTGATATGTCAAAGATACCGTAATTCGTGAGATATCTTAAAAATCAGCCTATTCTTTTTTTCTTGTACTATGTACTTGGAGAATGAATACATGTATTAGTTGTTGTTTGTTTTTTTTGATCAGTAGTAATGATTATTTGGAAATCATCATAATACATTCATGTGCCCTACGGAAGCCCATTTAGGACCTATCAAAAATATTTTTTGAATTCGATTTAACGAATTGTCAAATTTATTATAACGAATTTAATTCGTTGTAGCAATTTCTTTGAATTCGTTATAACATTTTTTTTGAATTCGTTATAACAAAACTTAATCTGTTTTAAATTTGTTTGTTTGTTTGTTGTTTAACGTCCCTCTCGAGAATTTTTCACTTATATGGAGACGCCACCACTTGCCGGTGGAGAGCTGCAAATTTTGACCTATGCACGGCACTTAGGGCCATTGAACAGTGAGGGATCTTTTTCGTGCCAGCACCTACTGCGACACGGGACCTCGGTTTATACGGTCTCATCCAAAGGACCGGTCTCCATGTCCCACAGTGGGATTCGAACCCGCGAAGTAAGGATCAACTCCTTACTCCGCGACTCTTGAGCAGACGCTCTACCACTGCGCCACGCGGGCGACTTTTTAAATTTGTTGAATTCGTTATATCAAATTCAGAAATTTTCTGTAACAATTTGAATTCGTTTAAATGAATTTTATACTTCATTATAACAAATTAAATTTGTTGAAACAAATTCTTAAATTTGTTATAACAAATTAAATTCCTTTAATCAAATTCAACAATCAGGGCCTGTAGAAAAATATATATGAATTCGGTATAACGATTTGTCGAATTCGTTTTAACGAATTGAATTCGTTATAAGAAATTAAAGAATTTGTTTAAACGAATTAAATTTGTTATAACAAGTTTTAGAATTCGTTTAAACTAATTTTATTTGTTATAACAAATTTTTGAATTCTTTATAACGAATTCAACAAATTTATTACAACAGGTTTAATTTATAATAACGAATTTAAAGAAATTGTTATAACGAATTAAATTCTTTATAACAAATTCGATAATTCATATATCGAATTCAAAAATATTTTTGATAAGTCCTAAATGGGATTCCGTATGTACCGATATAATTGTTGTTGGGGTTGATATTTTTAGATCACCTGAACTGGAAATTCAAGTGAGCTTTTCTGATCACATTTTGTCTGACTGTCCTTCTGTCTGTAAACTTTTCACGATTTCAGCTTCTTCTCAAGAACTACAGGGTCAATTTCAACCAATCGTGCCACAAAGCATCCGTGGATAAGGGGAATTCAAGTTTGTTTAAATGAAGGACCAAGCCGTCTTTCAAGGTACGTAGACAAGAATTAGTGATAATTTAGTGGCATCTTTTAAAAATCTTCTCAAGAACCACTGTGTCAGAAAAGTTTAAACTTATGTGAAAGCTTCATTATGAAGTGTAGATTCAGTTTTATTCAGATCATGTCCATCAGGGGAAGGATGTGACTACAAAGGTGATTAAAGTGTTTCATAGAATATTTAGAAAAAAAAAATCTTTCAACATCTCTTTTTTCAAGAACTGCTGGGTCAGAAGACAACCTTAAGGACCTATAAGCCACCATTAAGCCAAGTTTAAAGGAAGTGTTTCATCTTGTGATATGTACCGTCATACGGGATCCTGATGTGAACAAACCTGAATCTACACTACCGGGGGATGCTTTAATATACTAGTAAATATGACTAGTCATGGATTTCCTATTGAAAAAAAACTTTCAAGTTTTTTTTCCCTATGTAAAACTTTAATCACCCATGGTGGCCAAACCCCTACCCCCAGGGGTCACGATTTGAACAAACTTGAACATACACTTCCTTTGGATGCCTCCCTTTAAGTATAAATGATCATGGCTTTACTCTTGAAAAAAAAAAGATTTTTAGAGATTTTTCTTATATATACCCGTGTAAAATTTTGATTGTCCATTGTGGCCCCACCCTACCCCTGGGGGTCATGATTTGAATAAACTATCAAGAGACTTTCATATAAGTATCACCTTTTCTGGCCCAGTGCTTCTTGAGAAGAAAATTTTTAAATGACCCCACTCAATTTTTACTTTTTCCTTATTATCTCACTTTGGAAGAGGGTTTGGTCCTTCATTTGAACAAATTTGAATTCCCTTTACCAAAGGATACTCTGTGTCAAATTTGGTTGAAATTGACCCAGTAGTTCTGGAGAAGATGAAAATGCAAAAAGTTTACGACAACGACAGACAATGGACAAATTTTGATCAGAAAAGCTTACTTAGCCTTCAGCTAAGGTGAGCTAAAACTTACCCTTGGGTTCTATCTAAAAAATAAAAACATTTTTTACACTTAGAAGTCATTTTCCTACGTCGAAAAGTGACCCCTAATCATTATTCCACAGGGAACATTATTCGTCTACTGTTTAAGAGAATGGTCACGGTAGCCTAGTGGTAGGGCGTTCGCTTCATGTTTTTGAGCCCAGGTTCGATTCTCGTTCGCCGCACCGTGTCAAACCCAACGCGTCAACATAGGTAGTCACTTCCTTCGCCTAGTTCCCGGCAAAAATATTAAGTTAAGGTCACGGGTCTTTCGGATGAGACCGTAAAAACCGAGGTCCCGTGTCAATACATGTACCTAGGCGTTGGCTCATATAAAGAACCCTCAGGGCTTAATGGCGCTGAGTGCCTAGTAAAGATCTAAAGAAGTCCTTCGCCGATATATGGTGACGTTTCAATATGTCTTAAAAATTCTCGAATGGGATGTAAAACAACATACATACAATCAATCAATCATTCATGCAATCAGACACTGGTGAATCAAACCGTGTGGTGATCCGAAAAGGCGAATCACACCGTCAGGTGATTGCCTGAAATCAACAGTA